TATTGAAGGTGTGCCCCAACGTAAATACAGAACCCCTCATAAAAGACTGGAGACATTGAATCAAAACATTTCAGGAAATCTCTGTTCAATCATTAGTTTAACACTAAGCTCAACCAACTCTAAATAGAATAAAAACCCAGATACATTATTATCATACTATCAAAAGACAAAGTGAGAATCCAAAAAACAGCAAGAAGGAAGTAATGCCTCACAAACAAGGGAATCTCACTAACATTCACACCATGTTACTAAACACTATAGTAAAAACAAAGAGAATCACCACTGGAAATCTGATGCCCTGCCTAAAATATTGTATCATCTTCAATTCATGGAATAATGCTTGAAATATTCTATTGTTAGTGTCTCGGTCCTCTCAAATCTAATTTGATATAATGCCAAGTCTTTAAAAGATTATGTCCAACACTCCTCCCTAAGTCATTTTATGAGGCCAGCATCATTCTGATACCAAAACCTGGCAGAGACACAACTAAAAAAGAAAATTTCAGGCCAATATCCCTGATTAACATTCATGTAAAAATCTTCAATAAAATACTGGTAAGCCGATTGCAACAGCACATCAAAAAGCTTAGCCACCATAATCAAGTCAGCTTTAACCCTGAGATGCAAGGCTGGTTCAACATACACAGATCAGTAAATGTAATCCATCACATAAACAGAACCAATGACAAAAGCCACTTAATTATCTCAATAGATGCAGAAAAGGTCTTTGATAAAATTCAACACCACTTCATGCTAAAAACTCTTAATAAACTAGGTATTAACGAAATGTATCTCAAAATAATAAGAGCTGTTTATGACAAACCCACAGCCAATATCATACTGAATGGGCAAAAGCTGGAAATATCCCCATCGAAAACTGGCACAAGACAAGGATGCCTTCGTTCACCACTCCTATTCAACACTGTACTGGAGGTTCTGGCCAGGGCAGTCAGGCAAGAGAAAGAAATAAAGGGTATTCAAAGAGGAAGAGAGGAAATCATATTGTTTCTGTATGCAGATGACATGATTGTATATTTTGAAAGCCGCACCATCTCAGCCTAGAATCTCCTTAAGCTGATAAACAACTTCAGCAAAGTCTCAGGATACAAAAACAGTAAACAAAAATCACAAGCATTACTATACACCAATAATAGAGAAACAGAAAGACAAATCATGAGTGAACTCCCATTCACAGTTTCTACAAAGAGAATAAAATACCTAGGAATATAACATACAAGAGATGTGAAGGACCTCTTCAAGGAGAACTATAAACTACTGCTCAGTGAAATAAGAGAGGACACAAACAAATGGAAAGACATTCCATGCTCATGGATAGGAAGAATCAAGATCATGAAAATGGCCATACTGCCCAAAGTAATTTTTTTCCCATTTATTTATTTTATTGCATTTTAGGTTTTGGGGTACATGTGAAGAACATGCAAAATTGTTGCATAGGTACACACGTGGCAGTGTGATTTGCTGCCTTCCTCCCCATCACCTACATCTGGCATCTCTTCCCTTGCTATCTCTCACCAGCTCCCCCCCCCCCCCGTTCCTTCCCTATTTCCCCCCAACTGACCCCAGTGTGTAGTGCTCCCCTCCCTGTGTCCATGTGTTCTCATTGTTCAACACCCGCCTATGAGTGAGAACATGTGGTGTTTGATCTTCTGCTCTTCTGTCAGTTTGCTGAGAATGATGGTTTCCAGATTCATCCATGTCCCTACAAAGGACACAAACTCATCGTTTTTGATGGCTGCATAATATTCCATGGTGTATATGTGCCACGTTTTCCCTGTCCAGTCTATCATCGATGGGCATTTGGGTTGGTTCCAGGTCTTTGCTATTGTAAACAGTGCTGCAATGAACATTCGTGTACCCAAAGTAGTTTATGCATTCATTGCTATCCCCATCAAGCTACCACTGAATTTCTTCACAGGATTAAAAAAACTACTTTAAATTTCATATGGAACCAAAAAAGAGCCCGGATAGCCAAGACAATCCTAAGCAAAAAGAACTAAGCTGGAAGTATCATGCCACCTGACTTTATACTACAGGGCTATAGTAACAAAAACAGCATGGTACTCATACCAAAACAGATACATAGACCAATGGAACAGAACAGAGACCTCAGATATATTGCCACACATCTACAACCATCTGATGTTTGACAAACCGGACAAAAACAAGCAATGAGAAAAGGATTCACTACTTAATAAATGGTGTTGGGAAAACTAGCTAGCCATTTACAGAAAACTGAAACTGGACCTCTTCCTTACACCTTACACAAAAATTAACTCAAGATGGATGAAAGACTTAAACGTAAGACCTAAAACCATAAAAACCTTAGAAGAAAACCTAGACAATACCATTCAGGATATAGGCATGGGCAACGACTTCATGACTAAAAGACCAAAAGCAATGGCAACAAAAGCCAAAATAGGCAAATGGGATCTAAATAAACTAAAGCGCTTCTGGACAGCAAAAGAAACTATCATCGGAGTGAACAGGCAACCTACAGAATGGGAGAACATTTTTGCAATCTATCCATCTGACAAAGGGCTAATATCTAGAATTTACAGGGAACTTAAACAAATTTACAAGAAAAAAATAGACAACCTCATCAAAAAGTAGGCAAAGGATATGAACAAACACTTTTCAAAAGAAGACATTTATGCGGCCAACAAACATGTAAAAAAGTTCATCATCACTGGTCATTAGAGAAATGCAAATCAAAACCACAATGAGACACTATCTCATGCCAGTTAGAATGGTAATCATTAAAAAGTCAGGAAACAACAGATGCTGGAGAGGATATGGAGAAATAAGAGTGCTTTTACACTGTTGGTGAGAGTGTAAATTAGTTCAACCATTGTGGAAGACAATGTGGCGATTCCTCAAGGATCTAGAACCAGAAATACCAGTTGACCAAGTAATCCCATTACTGGGTATATACACAAAGGATTACAAATGATTCTACTATAAAGACACCATGCACATGTATGTTTATTGCAGCACTATTCACAATACCAAAGACTTGGAACCAACCCAAATGCCCATCAATGATAGACTGGATAAAGAAAATGTGGCACATACACACCATGGAATACTATGCAGCCATAATAAAGGATGTTCATGTCGTTTGCAGGGACATGGATGAAGCTGGAAACCATCATTCTCAGCAAACTAACACCACAACAGAAAACCAAACACCACATGTTCTCACTCATAAGTGGGAGTTGAACAATGAGAACACATGGACACAGGGATGGGAACGTCACACATCAGGGCATGTGAAGGGGTGGGGGGTCTAGGGGAGGGAAAGTATTAGGAGAAATACCTAATGTAGATGACGGGTTGATGGGTATAGCAAATCATGATGGCACATGTATACCTATGCAACAAACCTGCACATTCTGCACATGTATCCCAGAACTTAAAGTATAATTAAAAAAAGAAAAGATGATGTCCAACAGTACTTACTATTGACTCCATGCCAACAGCTTCAAGGCGTGTCCCCAAGAAGCTCTTCACTCCAGAATCCCCTTAAACTTTCTTTCTCTTCCTATGTTATACTTCTTTAGGCACCGTCATTTTTCCTGATATAATAGCAACTTAAAATCTTTTTCCTAGTCTTATATTTTAAAAGCAATTGTATAACTATCTAGCCTAACCTTCATTATTAGAATTTCTCGAGATCTGAAAATATCACATATTCTCCTTCACACCTCCTTAAGCCATCCTCTACGATTGCCAACTTTGTCTCAGACAAAGCTCTCTCATCTTCCAACTTGAATTTATCATCCTTATTTTCCTTTCCATTTTTTCTTTTCAAATTGTCAGGGGTGTTTGAACAAGAGCAACACTATCTTGAATAGGGGCTGGGTAAAATGAGGCTGAGACTTTCTGGGCTACATTCCCAGATGGTTAGGTATTCTAAATCACAAGATGAGATCAGAGATTGGCACAAGATACAGGTCATAAAGACCTTGCTGACAAAGCAGGCTACAGTAAAGAAGCTGGCCAAAACCCACCAAAACCAAGATGGCAAAGAGAGTGACCTCTGATCAGCCTCACTCCTGCATCCCCACCAGCACCATGATAGTTTACAAATGCCACGGCAATGTCAAGAACTTACCCTATATGGTTGAAAAATGGGAGGCATGAATAATCCATCCCTTGTCAATAACATATAATCAAGAAATAACCATAAAAATCGGCAATCAGCAGCCTTTGGGGCTGCTCTGCCTACGGAGTAACCATTCTTTTATTCCTTTATTGTCTTAATAAATTTGCTTTCACTTTGCACTGTGGACTTGTCCTGAATTCTTTCTTGTGCAAGATCAAAGAACCCTCTCTTGGGGTTTGGATTAGGATCACTTTACAGTAACAAAATCTCAAGATACAACTTTTAAATTGGCATTCATCATTGTCCATTTTCCTTATAAATTTACTTAACCTTTTATTGCATATCCTTTGCTCTCTTAAAATTTCTTACATCCTCTCTGCACTCTCAATTGCTGACATGACTGTATGCTTCATTTGAAAATGTGAAAGCAACCAGGGAGACTACCACCATCTAACCTATGACTGTGCCTGCATCATTATCAATATCTCATTCTGTCCTGTTCAAACAGCAATTCGACGTGAGATTTGGGTGGGGACATACAGCCAAACCATGTCACCAGCTAACCCTGGATTTTTTTCCTTTTCACGTTGAACTAATCATTCAGAAGGTAAAATATTTTTATACTTTAAATTTCACATAGCAAAGGTTATCAGTACCTGTTTTTGTGACAACCTCCAAGTTACATACAAATAAGATATCTTCCCATACACATTCCAGGAAAAAAAAAATCACGAGGGAAAAATACACACAGCGTTTTTCAAATTTCTCTCACTTTCAGGATTAAGGATAAACAACCATGTTTCATTCTTTAAAATGTTTACTAAAAAGAAATATCACCGAGAAACAGAGTAAGAAGAATATGGGGCTCAACTGGGAAACCTCGTCCTTAGCTTTTGAGAAGACACCACTGTGTGGGACTTTAGTTTCACCCCAGATGTGATTTTCTTGCTGTTAAAATGTCCATATGTGAGATGGAAGCCCCATAGTTGAAGAAAAGTGGACTTCAGGTAGATAATAAAGGTGGTTTTTTTAATCTACAGGTTTCCACTCCCGGGCCATCTGAAAGACAGAAAAGCAGGTTAACAGAAACCATCTCCAAGCTGTGATCTAGCCACAGTTTGCTTCCGGTTCTCCCAGGAGCTGGCATTTCTGTTAGAGTCTGGACTCTGGGTGTTGTTCCTGGGAAGGGCGGGTGGGCCCTGGGACCTGCAGCATGCACAGCTCCTCACGGCACACACACGGCAACATGCCACACGCAGAACGGCCGCAGGAAACAACCTGGAACACTGAAAATTTTGAAATCTGATTTCAAAATCAGATTTTGTGCAGTGCTGGTGGCCACTCCACTTCAGTTCATCTGAACACCCCTTGCCATTCCTCTGCCCCTTCCTTCATCTTCTCCGGCTTCTCACCCCACGGCCCCCATCCTGACCAACCAGGTTGAGTGTGCTGAGTCTACAGCACTGTTTGAATCTGTATTGTTTGGTTCAATTATGATGCTGAATAACTCTTTTGAAGAGCTATTTAAGCCATCTTCCTAGTACCAAGACCACTCTAAAACTAAGCCCCAAAATGTGAACATCATCTAGAGGCAACATTTAAAAAAAATTTTTTTATTATGTATCCATTAAGTAAAATGACTGTCTTTTACCTCTAGCAAAATGTTCAGAGGTTAATTCCACTTGATTCATACAACAATTCTATACTAAGGAAGATAGAATACTATAATACACCCGAAATCAAATTTTAAAAAAGAAGAAGCCTGGGCAACATAGTAAGACTCCATCTCTCCAAAAAAAAGAAAAGTAGTCAGACATGATAGCTCATGCCTACAGTCTCAGCTACACCGGAGGCTGGGGTGGGAGTACGGTTGAGCCTGCCATCGTGCCACTGCACTCCCGCCTGAGCAATAGAGCAAGACCCTGTCACAAGAAAAAGGGGGAGGAGGAGGAAGGGAGCAGGTGAGGGAAGGAGGGAGCAGAGAAGAAGGAAGAAGAGGACAGGTGTAGGGGAGAAGAAGGACGAAGAGGACAAAGATGAAGGAGGAGGAGGAAGAAGCAGAAGACGAGGAGGAAGGGAGGGAGGGAGGGAGGAAGGAAGGAAGGAAAGAAAAACATGAGTTCCAGTCCCATCCTTGCTCCCTCCAAGCTACAGGTCTCATGTGACTTCAAGCGAGCCACATAATCCCTATGGGTACTTCACAGTACAATGTCTGTTGGAAATTCTCTGATCTCTAAATTTGTTTCCAGCTCTAACAATCTATGATCCCATTGTTCTCATTTTACAGAAGACAGCTAACGTTCAGGGAGAAAAAGTAAATTGTTCAAGACCCTGTGGTCAACAAATGGTGGAGCACAGGCCAGGGCCTGGCTCTCTAGCCCTAACCCATTCCTTCCACAGCAGCTTGCTGGTCTAAACCACAGGCACAAGGGCAGCTGGAAGAGAATTCACCCACAAAAGCAATGAGAAATGCAGTGTTTCAAAGCTCTTTTCCACCACTAAAATATATACCATATACTTACCATGGAGTCAAATCAAAGTAGATGTGCTCTCTAGCAGAAACTTATTAACTAAAAAACACTCAAGATGAGACGGTGTTGGTTTCTATTTGATCACAAATTTCCCCCTTAAAGTGTAACAAATGCTCCAGTGAAGTCTAACAACAAATCCAGAAATGGAAATATGGTGAATAATACTTTTTCTTTCTCCTTCCATGTGCAACACTGTCTATACCACTAATTGGCAGATAGTGTGAGACTGGTCTGATCTTCAAGAGGACTTGAACCATCCTAGAATCCCCGTTGCCATCTTTGAGCTGGCCGGCAGGAAGCTCAGCTAACCTAAAGTCAAGGGCAGGCCTCATCTTAGCAGGGACTCTGCCTGTCTTCTCTTGCTTGGTAACAGAAACAAAAGACACCTACCCACATGGAGTAACTGGAGTAGCCGACATTTCTTAGTGCCTTTTGTGTGTCCAGGGCCTTTTTGCTTATGATAAGCAATTCTCCCAACAGCCTATGAATTAGTTATTATTATTAGCTCTAAACTGAGACATGGACCTTAATGAGGGGAGAAGCCCAATCTGCATACTGACTTGAGAGTCCATTCTCTTAGCCACCAAAAATGTACATAGGTTTCTACAGTCCATTTAGGACATACAAGGCATATATATATATACCTATATTGGCAAAGAGATGTACATATAAGTGTTTTGTGTGTAGATAAAAATAGACATGCATAGTTATTATAATATGCCTTAATTCACTTTTTAAAAGGAAGAATAAATTACAGATAACTATGTGACATGTGCCATTCGTAAGGTGGCTAAGTCACTCTGGAATGCCAGGTATGGGCTGACAGCGTAAGAGGAGAAGGTCTGCCCCAACAGGCAACACTTCACCCAGTCTCACCACCCACGCTCTTCCCTCCCAGACTTGCACAGTTAGGGGCTAGAGGAAGGAATTCCAGATGAAGTTAGGCTAACAACATGTTTTTAAAAACTTTAAGTCTTGCCACCAAAATATGAAATTCACAATTTTAATATTCCACCAGTATACCTCTTTAGCATAATGTGAAAAAATGTCTACTTTTATTTTCATTTGTCTTGTGATCCGTCCTAGTTTGTTTTCTTCATGACATGGTTGGCATTTTGTTCTCATGGGATTTGTTGTTTTATTTGTTACCCCCCTGAGTTGTGTATTTCTAAGATGGCCATGCCAGGCATGGCTGAGTGGGCAACTCTGGCCTCTCAGGTGTCTGCTCTCAGCATGACTGTCCCAAGGATGGCTGCATGGGGGACTCTGGCCTCTCAGGTGTCTGCTCTCAGCATGACTGTCCCAAGGACAGCTGTGTGGAGGACTCTGGCCTCTCAGGTGTCTGCACTTGGGACGACTGTCCCAAGGACGGCTGTGTGGAGGACTCTGGCCTCTCAGGTGTCTGCACTTGGGACGACTGTCCCAAGGACGGCTGTGTGGAGGACTCCGGCCTCTCAGGTGTCTGCACTTGCGACGACTGTCCCAAGGACGGCTGTGTGGAGGACTCCGGCCTCTCTGGTATCTGATCTTGGTGTGATTGTCCCAGGTATGGCTGCGCAGGGGACTCTGGAGTCTGAGGTGTCTGCTCTCGGTATGGCTGTTCCAGGTACGGCTGCTCGGGGGACTCTTGTTCCTCAGGTGTTTGTTCTTCTTGTCTTGGTGATGATTTTTCTTGTGATTGTCCCATCGGTGGTTCGTTATGGGCTTCTACTTCTACTGGGGTTTCTAGTAGTACAGGTGCATTTTTTTCCTCTAGAATGTCATATGGTTCCTTTTCTTGTTTTCAGTAAACAAAATAAAACAACAAAATCACCAATAAACATAGTAGCCATCTAAACCAACTGAAATAAATCAAAAAAGACAAATATTGCTGCTGTATTGCTGACTTTGTAGTGACAGTGGTAATACTAACAAAAATATTTTTCACATAGGGTATTACACGTGCAATGTGTTTTTGCATGCATTATCTCCAACAAGCACAAAGTAGGATGCAATACCATCAGAGAAGCTAGAATCAAAGTTGTGTTAGCAAATATTAATTACACAGACACAATCCATTAGTCATTTAAAAATTGAGAAGTCGCAGGGAAGAAGACTGTTGCTTTTTCTATGAGTCAGTAAAACAGAAAAAGGCATTTTCAGTAAAATGAAAAAGAAAGAAATCAGAGTACAGGAGAATCTAGAGGCCATGTTCTTCAGAGTAGACCCCAGCACATGAGAACCAGCCTTTGGAGCTCAGGAAGAATACCCCATGCAATCAGCCTTTCACCAGCCAAACTACATTTCCCAAAGCTAACACTAACTTTCCTACAGGATGAATGCCATTTGGCAGAGGAAATTAAAAAGATGCTCCTGAAAACTGAAAACAGCACCCTTTGAAATAACACTTGAAAAGATGTCTTCAGTGAGCAGCCTTGCAGAACCTGAGAGGGGCCAGGTAGCTCAGCTGACGTGGAGAACTCAGCATGTTCACACACTCCCTTCCCCAAAACCTGCTCATCCCCTTGTTTTCAGAAGGAACGCCTGGACCCAAACTAGAAACCTCCACTCCAGTTTCACTCTCGCCGCCCATATCCACTGTGTGGCCAGGTGCGGTCAATTTTGTCTGCTCCCAGGAATCTGTCACTTCCTGTCTAGCCCCTTCACACCTGATAGAGAATATGCAGCATGCATACAATCCTCTCATCCCTTTCCCTCTCTGCTGTCACAGCACTTCTTAGAAACATAAATGTGGTCACATCATCTCCCTGCTTTAGCATTCCCTACAAGATAAAGACCAGCATCCTTACATTGATGCAGAGCTGCCCTGACTGTTACCAGACAGCGCACAGCAAAATGGAGCCAGGCAGCTAGTTCACACCAAAGGGACGTGAAAGGTGGTGTGTCCCTTCTGGGCTGAGATGGCTGGGTATCTAATGTGGCTTCCTTATGTCTTCCCTTTCTCTTCCTGTAGCAAACTCAGAGACCATGTGTTGAGGACAGCAGCACCACAAAATCAAGGATCCCTGAGTCACCATGTGGAGGAAAGCCACCCAGGAAAGACTCCAATTCACAGTAGGCTGTTGTGATCGAGAAATAAGGATTTATTGTGGAAAGCCACTGAGATTGGGGATAGATTTTTTTTTAACTACAAATTAGCCTTGCCTTTTCTCACTGACGGACCTTAAGAACTGAACCTTGTTTGTATCTCCATCTTCTTCACATACTATTCCTTCCTGAGGCACATTCACTTTTTGCTCCAACTGCACCAAACTCATTGCACTCCCCAAATGCACCCTCATGCTTCCATGCACTTGGCTATGCTGACTCCTCTGCCCACCATCCCCTTCCTCACTCTGTCAAGTTGGCAAATTCCTCCTACCAGCCCTTCCCAATTCGTTTTTGCAATCCTCTCCTTCATAACACATTCTATAAATCCCTGCAGCCTCCCTCCCAGGCCCAGACAGTCAATTGTTCTCTCTGTAGTATATTTCCAGGGTATCCAGTACACACCTCTATTTTAACACTTCTCTCTCTTACTCAACTTTC